GAGAAAGAAATAGTTTTGTGTAGTTTCTCAGTGTTAAAAGAATAGCCTGTTGCACTGTTTTTTTTCATGAGATGTTACTTTTAGCAACATTATCACCATTAAAAAGGTTCTTAAAGTAAATTGCCAACATGCCTATAAAACTATATTCATGTAATGACATTAGCAGTTTTTATGTTGCTTTTAAAATGTAGCATCACTGGTGGGACCACTATCCAAAAGCAGTGAGTAAACATTACTTGTTTCACTAAAAGTATCTTGACATTACCAGTCATTTTGTTGCTTCCAAAATGTAACAACCTGGAGATTGTTGTAACTGTCCCAATAGTAGCATCATTACTCATAGCATATTGCTTCCAACCTTTGGATCATTCAACCATGTAGTGAAATACTGTGTGCTGTGATACACAGTGGCTCTCTGGGTTGTTTTTCCCATCATCTACTACTTGCTGAATCTTCTGCATTGAAATCTGCCTCCTTGTTCTTTTCCACTCCCACAACCACTGGCTTGGGGCTAACTTCTCCTTGCAGCCTTCTGATTATGTGTGTAATATCATGATATTCGTTGATAAGTTATTGGCAGTGTTTATACAATTTTCTATCAAAGCAGCCTGCCAAAAATTAAATCTATGCCAAGCTTGAAAAATACAGATTTAAAGAGTTAAAAATGTAAATAAAAGCATCACTAAACTGCATGCTAACAAAGCTTTCCTCAGATCCCATCTACACTGCCATATATTGCAGTTTTAGTTTGCAGTTTAACTGTATTGAGTCTATACTGCCATATAATGCAGTTCAATGCTGTTAAACTGCATTCTGAAACTGCATTATATGGCAATGTAGATGGGACCTCAGCCCAGCACCTTCCAGATGTCTTGGAGTAAAGTCTCCAGCAAACCCATGGAATATGGCCATTTAGAGGGAAATAATTGTGACAGGTTTCTCTGATATTTCAGTCAATAGACTGATCCTGTTGTATTCTTGTACCAAGTGATACTGCATATGGTATCTCTGTTCCAGTCTTTCATTTTATATACTGTGGAAGTCTCTGCATTCCCACTTATAGGTTGTGTCCTCTACTGCCTTCTGCAGTAGTGTGGCTGCTACTGACTTCTAAATCAGGGTTATTTAAGGCAGCTGAACATGTGGGTATGTGTATAGCTAGATCCACTGTGATTTTGTTTTTTTTAAAAAATGCTGTTATACTCAACTTACTCTCTGCACCATTCCTTGCTTTGGACTAAGATTCTGGAAACAAGAGTTCAGTTCCACCCTGTCATGAAAACCCACTGAGTAAGTCATACATGCACAGCCCCAGGAAAACCCATGATAATTGTCATCATAAGTTGGAAACGACTTCAAGGCACACAACAATCAATCCTTAGATAAGAGCAACATATGGCTTATGTGGAACTACCTCTGATAAGCACTGGGAAAATGCTTACGCAAGGCAAGTCTGAAGGAAACAGGTGTTGGTATTATGTCATCTTCACTAACTTCTAGTTGGCATTACAGCTATATCTACTTTTTTGACCTTTTAAAACCTTAAATTGCCTAGGCCCAGAATACATCAGGAAGAACTTGAATATGTCTGTAACTTGGAATATTCCTCAGGGCTGTACCTCTCCTCACTGGAACTGCCCATGGGATGGATGCAATGGTGCTTCAGAATTCGCCTTTTGGTGGATATCTCTAGGCCAGAGTATAGGCTATAAGCATCCCCTAGCCCACTAATTTTTAACAACATATTTTTTTAAAGCTAAAGAAATTCTCTTGACCTAATGACTATAGGGGAAAAAATTGTCATCTCTTTTTTCCAACTAGAAAATTGGTCTTCTCTATCTGCATTGACCAGGCAAAAGTGTTTTTATTTCTAAGGGATAAAGAAGTATTTCCGTGTCATGTCTCACTGACAGGTTTGCTAGGTGTTCTGTTCAGTTAGTTGTGAATCCTGTGTTTTGTCTTTATAGTTACTGTATTAATATGTGCAGTGAGTTATTCAAATATATTCATTATCTGTGGATTTTTAGTTAAGAACCCAGAGTTATTTTAATTAATATCTGCTGATATAGTTCACTGTGAGAATGAGAGGGTATTTTGTGTCTCCAGTGAATAGCATTTTTTCCAGATCTAGAGAGACAGATGCTCATATCTTTTAATAAAGGCTCTAAGTTCTAGACCAGTGTTTCTCAACCTGGGGGTCGGGACCCCTGGGGGGTCGTGAAGGTGTGTCAGAAGGGTCACCAAAGACCATCAGAAAACACAGTATTTTCCATTGGTCATGGGGGTTCTCTGTGCAAAGTTTGGCCCAATTCTATCATTGGTAGGGTTTAGTATGCTCTTTGATTGTAGGTGAACTATAAATCCCAGCAGCTACAACTCCCAAATGACAAAATCAATCCCCCAAACCCCACTAGTATTCAAATTTGGGCATATCAGATATTTACATTACGATTCATAACAGTAGCAAAATTACAGTTATGAAGAAGCAATGAAAATAATTTTATGGTTAGAGATCGCCACATGTGGAACTGTATTAAAGGGGTGTGGCATTAGGAAGATTGAGAACTACTGCTCTAGACATTATGGGATGAGGAAACCCTGAAATGGTAACAATATTTCATAAAATCATCCCCAACATCTCTTGAAACACTAAAAGAAGGGCAGTGTTTTATTAGAAAAATGCAATATGTGTGTGTGTGTGTGTGTGTGTGTGTGTGTGTGTGTGTGTATGATGGGCTGTGTATTGTATGGATTCACTGTAAAAAGTGAATAAAAGGAAGGTAGGGGAAAGGTCTAGTATGGGAGGAAGTATGCATGTACACATACGGGTCAAACCATGTGACACATGAAAACAGTGACAGAAAGGGCAAGAAGGAAGGTGCCTGTCATGTAAATGTGATGCAGGAAACAGGATGTCATCTGGTCCACTGGAATCACCCTCAACTCTCTGATGCTATTCATGTGGCATATTTCTGGCATTTTTCTAAAGATATTCAAGGTTATCTTCATCTCCCGCAAGAGTTAGTGGTGTGCCTCTCTCCAATGCAAACAGTAAAGGAAGGTCAGATCAGGACAGATAATCTCTTTTTGTGAAACCAGAAAACCTTGCAACTCCACATCTGCTGCAGCTGCCATCAATACAGAACCACTGGGAGCTTTCGAAACCCGTGCTTTTGCGGGGCATCTCTATTGAGCCGGGTTTCCATTTAATAACTCCTACTCTTCCTCCCTCAGTCACTTGCGCTGGCTTGCTTCTCCTTTCTTGTGCAATAACATATCCAGACACTTCCATGGTTTATAGGGACACAAAGGAAGAATTGGGAAAGGACTGAGTGTTTCTTAAGTGATCCCATATGGTCCTCAACACGTGCAGAAGCCTGAAGTGTGCTTCCAGCTCCCTGCTCTTCCTCCAGTGTGCATTTTTGTAGACAATTTGAAATCCAGTTATATTTCCCATAAAGATTAGATTGGGAGAAAACAAGAAATATTACTTGCAAGAGTCTTCGCTTGGGCCAGAACAAGGAACACCCAGCTGCCTGGCTCAGTCTCTTCTCCAAGCGCATCCGCTCCAAGGGAATACAGAGGAGAATTTATCCCTATGAACAGTTCTACAGGATATTTGCCAGGCACAATAGAAATCCTTAGCTAGCTTTTAGTCTGCACAAATCTTACTGTTAGAAAGGCAAAGATCTCTTTGATAGACTGAAGCAGAATACTAGCATAGCGTGCCAGAAACATGGTGTCTTATATCCAAATATCCCCCATCACTACACCCACTTTGCACATCACTTTGCATACAGTTTGAATGTACTGATATTTAGGTGCTGATGCAGACTTAGAAACATTGTCTGTAATGGACATAGAAATGCAACACATTTTGTGCTTAAATATCCTGAATGCTCCAGATCCCATCTGACCACAAAAGCTGAGCAGAGTCAGCTTCAAACAGGGACTACTTCTGAATATAGAATGACTATATAATGCATTATGTTCACCACAGAGGGTTAAACCACTGAGCTGCTGACTTTGCTGACCAAAAGGTTGGAGGTTCAAATCCAGGGAGCAGGGTGAGCTCCTGCTGTTAGGCCTAACTTCTGCCAAGCTCACAGTTCGAAAACATGCAAATATGAGTGGATCAATAGGTACTGCATTGGTGGAAAGGTAGCGGTGGTCCATGCAGTCATGGAGCACTGCAATAGGTACTGCTTTGGTGGGAAGGTAGCGGTGCTCCATGCAGACCTTGGAGGTGTCTATGGACAGTGCCAGCTGTTTGGCTTTGAAATTGAGATGAGCACCACCCCTCAGAGTCGGACATTAGATTAAATGTCAGGGGAAATCTTTACCCTTTACTACTATACAATATGCAATATCAATATGGTAATAATCAATGTATTTCAAATCAAATCAGAAATCTAATTCAAATAAGAGCAAAGGAATGAAACCTCAACTTTGATTTCTCTCATGATACATGTTCTGCCCTGTGGCAATAATGCCACTTGAGCTGTCTTTGTCTGGGTGACAGCAAAGGCATATGTAGTGCAGAATTTTAGCTGTTGTGATTTGTTTATTGTAGCGAAATTCTGAAATACCTGTGCATGAGGCAGTGCAGAACAAGAACTGTACTGGATCATTTTGATTGATGAGAGAATTGAAGAGCAATGCAAAACACTTGTGGTGGTAGAAATCAGGGTTTACTATAATACATGGTATAGGTTTTTGTTGTTTTTGTTAACTGTCATCAAATTGACCTATGGTGATCCTATGACTGAAAGACCTCATGCAGTCACTGGCATCAAGAGAGGACTGCACTACATCAAAAAATTATGAACCTGAATTGGATTGAAGAAGAAAAATACAGTAGCATGGAAAGAGAATTGAATGGTTTTAGAAAAAATGACCAGAATGTTGGGCAAAGGTGTTGCAGGGCAAATTTTGAATATTATATAAATGAAGATCTGAGTTAACATTCACAGATAGTTTTCTGAATTGTGTATTTGCAGGATTTCTATGAAGCTGTCTTAAAAGTGCTAGGAAACGAGAATGATGGTAACCATGAAGAAGCAAAGCTCAAGGAAGGATTGAATGAGGTCCCAGAGATCTACAATTTGCATCAAGAAATATTTGAAGAACTGGAAGAAAAGGTTCTCAACTGGTAAGTGATTGGGGTTGAACCTTTAGGCCAGCATTCTACTGTCCAAAAGTCTTCAAGAACAATGGCCATTTGTTCTCCTTCATCCTTGATCAGTATTCCTAGACCATTTGGATCTGGAGATTTCAAAACAGTATACGGTAATTAAGAAGAAAAGAACTAGCAACAACAAACACAAAACACAAAGGACACCATTTACATTGTTCATGAAAATAGATGGTAGGTTGAACTGCCTAGCCAGGTTCTGTCTGATCTTGGAAGCAAATTAGAATCAGGCATAGTTAATACCTAGGAGACCACCAATGAATACCAGAGAAAAGAATTGTCAAAACCAGTTCTGATTCTTCATAGAATCATAGAATTGGAAGGGACCTCGTGGACCCTCAAGTCCAACCCCCTGCCAAGAAGCAGGAAAATCGCATTCAAAGCACCCCCAACAGTTGACCATCCAGCCCCTGCTTAATAGCCTCTGAAGAAGGAGCCTCCACCACATTCCAGGGCAGAGAGTTCCATTGCTGAACAGCTCTTACAGTCAGGAAGTTCTTCCTAATGTTCGGGTGGAATCTCCTTTCTTGTAGTTAGAAGCCATTTTTCTGTGTTCTAATCTCCAAGACAGCAGAAAACAAGCCTGTTCCCTCTTCCCTATGACATCCCCTCACATATTTATTCATTGCCATAAATAAATCATTGGGTCACCATTTGTTGTTTAAGCAGCTCAGATTTCTAAGGGTAGTATGAGAGAAACTGAAATAGCAGATGTGGGGCAATTTGCTTCTCTAATGGTTTCATTCTACAAAACTTTGTCCTTTTCTCCATGGGTAACCTTTACCCTACATCCTGAAGATTTAGTATGATGTTATTACATTTACAGTTATTACACTGGATATTGTGCATGGGATTTTATCAAGCTGTTGGGAAGCCATATTCCACAGAGTGTGCTGTAAAACTAGTGCAGGCCAGGAATAATAACAAAAACTACCCTTCTGATTAAGACACTGAGGACTAATAAAGGAGGATATTTGTAGGCAGTATGAAATAGGACTGAAGGGGTTTCCTTATTCCTCATCTGCTTGTTCCTATGTGGCTTTAGGGAAGAACATCAGAAAGTGGCTGAAGTTTTCCTCTCCAGACAATCGCGGTTTCATCACCATACAGCTTACATCATGCACTTTGATAGGACCTTGGCTTTGCTGGATGAAGCTCGTCTTAAATCTTCCCAGTTGGATATTGTCATTCGAGAGTTTGAGGTAAAGCCCTATCTATCTGTATCTTCTTCACGCTGACTCGGGACTATGTTTCAGTACTCTTTCCTTCACTTTCTTCTTTCTCACCTCTCAGAGGTAGTCCTCTTTACGATGTTCAGGCGGGACAGGGAGAGAGTGGGGATCACTGACAATTTAATTCCCAATTGAATTCAGATGGTAGGTAAGTATAACCATGAGGATATTGGAAGAGTAAAAATGTCTTCTCAATCTGTATCTGAAAGCATGCAGAGTTGAATCCACAAGAGCTATACCCCAGCTCCACAGTGTGCTATCCTGCACCATTTTGGCCACATAGTGTCACACTCAGATATTTTAATCCAAACTCAGGTTTGTCTTGAAAGCCATAATGTTCCCTCTCACTGAAGTAATCTCAATACAAGGGCATGTCTGCCTGTTCACATGCTCACTGTATTGCACTATTTTAGATCCCATGACTGCAGTGGCTGTACTTTGTTTTCTTCCTGGCATGCATTCAGATATACATGTACTTATATATTCATATCATCTAATAACTTTCCCTTTTTCCCAGCTGCACTTTCATTGGATGGCTCCCGGTGGAAGGCATGATTTGAACCCAAGTCCAAGTTGCTATACCTCAGAAGGCTCTGCGTTGGCCCAAGACATTTTGCTAGCTGAGGCAGAGCTCAAATGCTCCTAACCTATGCTGCCCACATGCATTTATTTCACCAGTATGTTTCCTAGCAGGACCAGTTGTCAGTAATCTCACCTTTGGGTTGTTGTAGGTTTTTTGGGGGTATATTACCATGTTCTAGAAGCATTCTCTCCTGATGTTTCACCTGCATCTATGGCAAGTATCCTCAGACGTTGTGAGGTCCCTGATGTAGGCGAAACATCAGGAGATAACGCTTCTAGAACATGGCCATATAGCCCAAAAAACCTACAACCCAGTGATTCCAGCCATGAAAGCCTTCAACAATACAGTCTCACCTTTCTTGATTTGGGAAAAATAGAACATTTTTCTACCTTCCTTTCTGCATTGAGGTTGTGGCTTCTGATGATGTAGATGAACATTTAATATCAGCCCTAGTGTAGACCATTTGTAAAGGGTAGGGGAGGAGAGGTGGTAATATTTATTCATCTGACAGAAAATGTTATGACGATAAATTGGCTACTGTATTTTTCATGTTGCTTGGGCAGTCAGCTCCTTGATATATGGATTATGTCTCTTTTTCCAGCACATATGAAATACTAATAATGATAATTCATTGAAGCAACCATTCTTCAACTGGTGTCTAAGAAATTTCACTCTCTGAATATTACAAAAAAGGAGGGGTTTAAAATGTTGCTAGGAAAGTCTTGCTCAGAAATGTAGACTTTCAATAGCGATCGTCGTCTTTGTCTTCAGCGTCATCTCAATGGAATGCACTTTCTTACTGCCCAGATATTCTGTACACTAGAGCCAAAAATTCCTTATATGAAAGCCAATAATCCTAAGGTGAAGAAAAAGGCCAGTGTCATGAGAAGGTTACTACCAGAAAGCTTAAGTCTGTCTGTGCATATGCTACCAGTAGTCTGTTGACTTGTGGTGACCCCATGAGTTTCACAGGGTTTTCATAGGCGAGGAATATTCAGAAAGTAGTTTTGCCAGTTCCTTCCTCTGAAATATAGTGGACAGCACCCATAAAAGGTTTTGTGTGAAGTAGAGACAGACCTTATCTATCAGAGATTTCAGCTAGTTTACTACTTAATTTCTTCAGGAAACCTATGATTTTGTGAAGGGCCTGAAAATGTCTAAAGATGAATTGTTAAAATGTAGAAGGGGATCAGATGTGTTAAAGCACATAGGCTCACCCTGTCTTTGCTAGATATCCAATAAGCATGAAAAGTGCCAAAATGTGCTCATAGAGCTTTTCCATGCTGAAGAAATCCTTACTGAACCACTATTATCTCTGCCATTCTTCACTCATATTGTTACCATGGGCCTATGGTTGGTTTTAAAGCAATAGAATATTGTAAAGCTATCATGAGAGCTGATGTAGTCTAGTCATTTTAGCATTGGACTATGACTCTGGTGACCTGCATGGCCAAGGAAACTCACTGGGTGACTTTGGGTTAATTACACTCTTTCATCCTCAGAGGAAAGGAAATCTTCCTCTGCCATAAGTCAGAAATAGCTTCAAGGCACAGAACATCAATAATGCTTTTATTTATTATTTATTTATTTCCAACATTTATTCCCCACCCTTCTCAACCCCCGAGGGGGGGGGGGGGACTCAGAATGGCTCACACTGGCAACAATTCAATGCCACAACATACAAAACCATTGTAACAGATATAACAACAATTTAAAACAGTAAATAAAGCAGTAAGTTAAAAACAATTTAAAACATTATTATCATCCATATAACCATTTCCAGTCCAGTTCAACCTCCAAAGTGCTGTCATGCCTGCTGTCCAAAGGCCTGGTCCCAGAACCATGATTTCTGTTTTTTCCTAAAAGAAAGGAGGGATGAAGCCGACCTAATTTCACTGGGGAGTGAGTTCCACAGATGGGGGGGTCATGACCGAGAAGGCCCTGTCCCTTGTCCCCGCCAGCGTTTGCAAAGCTGGTGGGTCCGAGAGCAGGGCCTCCTCGGATGATCTTAGGCTACGAGGTGGAACGTAGAGGGAGATACATTTGGATGAGTAAGCTGGTCTGGAACCGTATAGGGCTATATAGGCCAAGACCAGCACTTTGAATTGTGCTTGGAAATGGACTGGCAGCCAGTAGAGATGACACAACAGGGGGTGGGGGTGGTATGCTCCCTGTGTGTCACTACAGTGAGTAGTCTGGCTGCCACCTGTTGGAGTAGTTGAAGTTTCCGAACAGTCTTCAAAGGCAACCGCACATAGAGTGTGTTGCAGTAATCTATTCAGGATGTAACCAGAGCGTGGACCACCGTGGCCAGATCAGACTTCCCAGGTTTGGGCGCAGCTGGCGCACAAACCTTAACTGTGCAAAGCTCCCCTGGCCACCACCGAAACCTGGGGTTCCAAACTCAGCGATGAATCCAGGATCAATGCTATAGTATTAAAACAGATTCGCTGTATAGGTGGAGGGAAGGAGTTATGAACACACTTGTTTACATTTGAATGGATGCTTCTGGTGCGGCCTAGAAGGTTTCTTTTTTCCTAATTAATACGAGCCGTTAAGTGGCTCACTTCCACACCCTGCAACTGTTTCAATTTAGCAGGGAGAGCCTTGATTATTCCTCTGCAATCCCACTTTTTCAGCTGCTTTTCAAAAGTCCCAATTTCTCTTTCTTCCTCCCACTTAATTTTTTTGTCCCCAGCTTATTTCTGTTGCTACAAAATGTGTTCAAAGGCCAAAGGTGATTTGTGCTCAATTACGTTGGCAGGAAAGAGAGGAGACAACGTGATGGTACCTTTGCCCTTCCTAGCAGGACCAGGTGAAGCCAAACTGCCACAGCCTTTCCTAGCTTATGTGTTTTACATCAGTAATAACTTTGCAACTCTCTGACATTACTTGACCCCACATGCCCCAGTTGTTATTTGTGAAATATTGTAGTGTAAGCATTCAATTTAAGAAGGCACGAGGAAAAGAGAAAGCAGGTAGTTAAAAAATTTAAAACTTTTTTTTAAGTGTAAGGGTGGCAGATTTAACATGAGAGAACATTCATAAAATATGCACACTCTTAAAAAAAGAACAAAAATTAAATCCTGTGCAACATTTAGGTATAACAAGTAATTATGTATGCCAAATGTTTGTAATATTCATGTATACAGGAGGTCATTGCCCTCACGTTTCTGCAGTAAGTGTTGTAGCAACATTACTTTCTATGTTATTCCGACCTTTGGCTTGAATTTAGGGCTAGCTGTAGCAATAAATATTGAATTCTTCTTTCCTCAAACTTTCTTTAGCCTCTCCATACACAATTCCAGAGGTTAATGCCTGACCCCCCCCCCCCCCCCAGAAAGGCCCCATCTCCCTTTAAGCTTGTGTTTGGCAGTTGAATAAGCTCACCTCCCTGGAGAGCAATTCAGAGCCTGGCCTCAGTCCTGCTCATGGTGTCTAGCACATAAATCAGCTCGGCTCTTCTGAAGATGCCTTTGGCAAGTTTCAGATCAATGGCTCATACTCTCCAGTTTTCCATCTTCCTTTGCAGTGCCTCAGGATACAGGGACAGGATGTATTTCACAAGAATACGGTGGCCTCTGATATTAAGTAAGAGATAAAAGTTACAGTGTTAATGCCTTAGCCTCATGTGTTGCCCCTCAGTTCAGCTGCAATTGGAGTTAATGGGATTTTTATTTGAGCCATAAATCTGATCTTAGAAATTTCCTGTATGCAAGGAGGATTTTTGTCTTGTTTTTTTGGTATCCTCAGTCTTCTCACTCAGAAGAGTATCCAAGTAGGATATTCACTACATTAAAGGAGGAAATAAAAGGAAGGGAAATCCATCCTATATAAATTTCTGTGATCAAACTAAAATGCTCAAATATAAGGGAACAAAGTAGGACTGTCTGGATTTATGACTTGTCGAAATAGCTATAGAAAATTAATAGGAAAGTCGTTAAATTTTGATGGGCTAGAGAGTTTTTCAAACTTTTCCTCAGCCGAGGCATGGATCAGTAAGAATTGAACAGGAGCTCAGTTAATGGCAGTAGGCAGTCTCCTAGTGGGACACATTGCTTCTTTTACAAACCTCATAGACAATCCCTTGTAGCCCAGTTTGATTATCTTCCAGAAGTAGAGTTTTGGTGGTAGTTCTGTAAGTAACTGTAGAGACCTGTTCTAGATCTGCGTGGTCTTTCTCAGTGAGGATATCCATTTCCAGATACAAAATGATCCCAACAAGGGTTGGCTCGATGTTCCTTCTTCTTGGCACATCTCTCGCTTTTGACCTCTATCCGTGCCTCTTCAGCAGACCTCCAGTTAAAATGCTCAATGGCCAGAGCTTCCAAATTCTTGGTATCTATGCCACATTTTTAAGGTTAGTTTTAAACCTATATTTATATCTCTTTTGCTGCCCTTCGACATTCCGTTTTCCATTCTTGAGCTAAGAATAAAGTAACTGCTTTGGGAGACATTGATCAGGCATTTGGACAACATGGCCAGTCCAGTGAGGTTGATGGCAGAGGATCATCACTTCAGTGCTAGTAGTCTTTGCTTCTTCCAGAATGCTGAATTTTGTCCACCTATCTTTGTAGAAGAGTTTCAGGATTTTTCATAGGCAACGCTGATGGAATCTTTTCAGAAGTCAAAACTGATGTTGTAGAGGACCCATGTTTCACAGGCACACAACAGAGTTGGAAGGAAAATAGCTTTATAAACAAGCATCTTAAAACACATCAGTTAATGACTTCCTTTTGTAAAAGAAACACCTTCCAATGGTTTCGCACCAGGAGCACAGCAGGAGAGGAATGATGCCATGGGATAACTCCTACTATTATTCTGCTATATCTGCATACCTCCCTCGTATGACCATAATTCTTAGACTAGATCCAGTGTTGATCTCTCATATGTTGTCAAGCATCAGTGTGTATGATGCTTGGCAACATATGAGAGAGTAGATTCCTGCCCTGATGAGATTGATGACATCTGTGTTTTTTAAAAAAAACACTAATTCATCTCATCCACATCTCTAGGATCAAATACAGAAAAAGATGCAACTTGCAATGAGATCTCAATGCATTTCTAGGTTTGCAATGCATTCCACAAAAGAAAACAAATGCATTTAACAACATGTGTGTATCAATGAACCCATTGCACTAGGGGTGGGCAGGAGTGGTAAAATGGGGGGAGGGGTATTCATCAACCTTTCAAAAGGCCTTGGAGGACTGCACCCTCACTGCACTGGCTCGTTTGTGTGTGTGTGGTGTGTGTATGCATTACATGACACACTTATTAGGTGGCATGAAGACATGTTTTTGGATCTGAGCCCCTAGAAAGCATTTTAGGGCAGTTTGTGATTAATTCCTTTTTCAAAATTTAATTTTTACCCTGGGATGTGCAGGAGGCTCTAGATTTAATGGAAATGACCTTCATATACCATACAGATAATTTTGGACATTTAGGAACAAATTTTTTTGCAAAAAAATGGTTCTGGGGGCTGCATGCAACCTGTGAGTTGCAGTTTGCTCACTGCTTCTTTACAATGTAAACAAAATACATAGAGGGCCTTTTCCATTATAAAATTCTACACAGAACTGACAGAGTGTGGATTTGGAGGTGGGTACAGAAGGAAGTTGTTGTATCCCTTGTTGAAATTACTATGTGCTAACAGGCAGTGGTTGGAGAGCATCTAGATGTGCTGCAATTCTGTTATTTTCTGGTTATTGGTGCTCAAGCTCTGACATTTACTTTCTTTTTCTCCCTTTCTCTTGAGGACAGCAGTTTCGTGATGGCAATATCTTGAATGTGAAACATCAGCTCTTGAAAGTGGTGCAGCGTGTATTCCAGTACCACGTGCTACTCACAGGTCAGGAAAATGTGAAATATCACACCTGCATAATGGGAGAGACTGTATTTCTCTGCTTTTCTTTTCAGGCTGCCGCCATGGTCTTGAACTGCATCTGGTCCCCCCTTCTTTATCCTGCACCCTTTATAGTGGCTTACATGACTTTGGTTTCCTTCTTCAGAAGATTTGTTGAGTGGAAGAAGAGAGAAGGTGATAAGTGTTGAGATGGAGGAGGAGAGGGAATAACAAGAAAGAGAGGGAAATAATATATCATGTTGTTGGAGATTGAGCGGGCTGTGGTCTGGGTTGCAGATGGAACCAGCATGAGGTAGTGGTTGAGCATTGGCTTGTGACTCTGGAGACCAGGGTTTGAATCCCCACTCAGCCATGAAAACCTACCGCGTGACCTGGGGGAAGTTTCACTCTCCCTTCAGAGGAAAGCAAAGGAAAATCCTCTTCTGAACAATCTTACCAAGAAGAACTCATAATAATTTGCCACAGGGTCACCATAAGTTTAAAAAGTCTTCAAGGCAAATAGTAAATGTCACAGATTAGGGTAAAAGATAAATCAGTAGTTTTAAAGACTGTTTGTTGACATATAAATCCCAGCAATGATTGAAGCAAAATAACTACTGGAGGAACATCATAAGTACATCATATTATTTATACTTGGATGGGGAACTATCTTAAGAATATTGAAATGATTACTTCCCAGTGGTTAAAATAAGCCACATTGTTCAGCATTTTTGGTAAGCATTCTAAATTATATATCCTAGTGGAAGTTTGGTCTCAGATTCTCCTGAGAACATTTCCCAGACTCTCCTGAGAAAATGCACTCAATCTCTCACTGGGTCGACTTGTCCTGAGAATCAGCACTTCTTGGGAGCCCACCGATTTCATGTTGCTTCTTCTATGACCTTTGTCAGGAATGCACAAGAACCTCAGGTTTACAAACCATTACCATAGCAACTCTTAAGAGACCTGGAAATTGAGAGTCTAAATGAATCACAGCAAGAACTCCCACACTGTGAGATCTGCTGATTCATACAACACTTGGAACATGGATGTTTATAAAATTGCAGACTTTCATTTATCATTTTGCTGATTATGACCCTCCGTGAGGGCAATACTCTTCAAAAAGTGTTGACTAGAGGTTTGGGGGAATTGTAATCCCAAAGGGAACAATCTCTGGGTAAATGGGAAGGGTTCAGAACTCAGAGAAACATTACATACTTTGAAAAGTATCCTTCTCTCATGCTATCTCTCTCACACAATACTTGAGCCTGGGAGTATTCACTGAAGATGGATGTCTATTTCTATTGTAGGAGAGAAATTAAAATTTTAAAAGAAAATACCAAGTTTCTTGTCTTGCGTCTGCATAAATTTAGAATATGAGTAGTCAAGTAGTGATTCCAGGACCATGTGCAAACCTCTCTCACTACTCCTGGTCATACCAAAATTTAGTTTGAGGATGATAAGAAGCTTAACAGAGGAAAGAGAGGATGTAAAGGATTCAAGTAATAATAAACATAGAGATTCAGCCTGGAGATATTCTGAGGGTATGTCACAGTTGGGAGCCCTTTACTGAAACACCCATGAAATGCAACTGGTCTTATAAATTCAATAGTTGGTCTTTTTTTGTATGGACTATTCTAGCATAGTGCAATTGAGACAGGCTTCTTGAACTGTGTCACTTATGTTCTATTTGGTTCACTTCTTACTTGGATCCCATTTGTTATCCGTATTTTAAATGGACAATGATTTGGAGGCATTTTTGCCTAGTAGAAGCAACTGTTTCCTGAAGGGGCTTCTACTAACCTCCCTCCTATTCTCCGGCCTCCCTTAAAGGAGCACCTTGTCACATCTCTTGACAGCATTATCATTCCCAGCACTGTTGCTTTCATTTGTATTATTAACAAAGAATAATAAAATGCATTGCAGGATAGATTTAGGATGGGTTGCCAAAACACTACAGCTGCAGTATTTCTAACTTTCCATACACATTTGGGAGAAATTATAGCAGACTACAATGATTCATCTGGCAGGGATAAGCGATGCTCTGTCACCAGAGACCGCTTTTGTGTCTAGCCTACGCAGATATCGCAAATGGGCTATTGCAACAGTTCTTTCCTTAGTCCAGAGAGGTCCACAAATAACCTCAGCCTCTATATACTTATGTGAGTCACAGGTCATTTTAGTTAATTCAGAGGAGATTGAGTCTTTTATCAAGTTTCAGATAGAGAAGAATTAAATATGGCTATTCCCAGTTAAACCTAATTCTTTTGGGAATCACTTTGTATTTATCTGTAACAAATCCATCATTGGAGTCTTTCCCCCCTGAGTTTAACTAAACTATGATATAATTAAAGAGAGGTGGGGAGGGGGAGCATCACAGTCCCTCAGGCAATTTAGAAATCTGCCATTAAAAATCATGTTCCTTTTTAATTTCTTTTTAATCACAAAGATTACTTTTTACTGATTGAATTAGCTGGTTCAACTGCATTACCTTAAATATGCAAGAAAAATATGTGAATATACAAAGGATTGTGTCTATTTACTGTTGATGATGATTACGACTCCTAAAACTGGGAGTCAAAATGGTTTACAATTTCAAGAAAACAATACAAATAAAAATATACAAAAAGGTGAACATTAAGTAAAGGTAAAGGTTTACCTTGACATTAAGTCTAGTTCTGTCCAACTCTGGGGGGTGGTGCTCATCTTCATTTCTAAGCCGAAGAGCCAGCGTTGTCCATAGACACCTCCAAAGTCATTTTGCCAGCATGACTGCATGGAGTACAGTCAGCAAGTTTAGTAGCTCAGTGGTTTAACTCACTCTGCCACTGGGGGACCCCAAGGTGAACATTAGATTAGGATTAAACCCTTAAAACAATCCATTCTAAAACAGCACAGCAACTTCAACCCATTGTTTAAAAACTTTCAAATTTAAAAACCCGATGGAACAAAAGAGCTTTTGCCTGGCAAGGGAAGGACTGCAGGGAGGGGGTTGTTCTGGCCTCTTCAGGAAGAGAGTTACAAAATCAGAGCCGGTGCTGAGAAGACTCTCTCACATCCCCACCGACCTCATTTGTGATGGTGGTCCATTGACTGGCTAACCTTGTGTCCTTTTGCTGCTGTCTGGTGTTACCTCTGCCGCCTTCTGGGGCAAATTTGGCAGAGAGGTGCATTAGGGTTTTCTCTTTTGTTATAGCTTCTTGAATGTGGAGCTCTGTTTACTGTTTCTGTATGCTTTTCTTCTTTGAAGTTTATGGTTACCCTGGGGCAAACACTGGCAACACTGGTTTAGAGGGAGCTTGCCATTGCTTTTCTTTAATAATAACAAAAATAATCGTACATATTATTTATATTCCGCTTTATCTCCCTGGAGGGACTCAGAGTGGATTACAGTACGCATATAAGGCAAACATTCAATGCCTTTTACACAACGAACAACGGCATACAATACACAGATAAGGTAAAGACCTTCCCCTTTTCATCTCCGGCGTCTGGAGGCGATGCTCAACTCTGGCCATAGGGAGGTGCTCTTGTTCCATTTTCCATGATGTGGAGCCTGCTGCCTGTAGATATCTCCGATCTTTTTGCCAGCGTGTCTCCATGGGATGCCCTTTTACTTTCCCATCAAGGCGGTATATATTGATCTACCTGCATTGCCTGCTTTTGATCTGCTAGGTTGACTGTCATAGAATCATAGAATCATAGAATCATAGAATCATAGAATCAAAGAGTTGGAAGAGACCTCATGGGCCATCCAGTCCAACCCCCTGCCAAGAAGCAGGAATATTGCATTCAAATCACCCCTGACAGATGGCCATCCAGCCTCTGTTTAAAAGCTTCCAAAGAAGGAGCCTCCACCACACTCCGGGGCAGAGAGTTCCACTGCTGAATGGCTCTCACAGTCAGGAAGTTCTTCCTCATGTTCAGATGGAATCTTCTCTCTTGTAGTTTGAAGCCATTGTTCTGCGTCCTAGTCTCCAAGGAAGCAGAAAACAAGCTTGCTCCCTCCTCCCTGTGGCTTCCTCTCACATATTTATACATGGCTATCATCTCCCCTCTCAGCCTTCTCTTCTTCAGGCTAAACATGCCCAGCTCCTTAAGCCGCTCCTCATAGGGCTTGTTCTCCAGACCTTTTATCATTTTAGTCGCCCTCCTCTGGACACATTCCAGCTTGTCAATATCTCTCTTGAATTGTGGTGCCCAGAACTGGACACAATATTCCAGGTGTGGTCTAACCAAAGCAGAATAGAGGGGTAGCATGACTTCCCTAGATCTAGACACTATGCTCCTATTGATGCAGGCCAAAATCCCATTGGCTTTTTTGCCGCCACATCACATTGTTGGCTCATGTTTAACTTGTTGTCCACGAGGACTCCAAGATATTTTTCACACGTACTGCTCTCGAGCCAGGCATCCCCCATTCTGTATCTTTCATTTCGTTTTTCCTGCCAAAGTGGAGTATCTTGCATTTGTCACTGTTGAACTTCATTTTGTTAGTTTTGGCCCATCTCTCTAATCTGTCAAGATCGTTTTGAATCCTGCTCCTGTCCTCTGGAGTATTGGCTATCCCTCTCAATTTGGTGTCGTCTGAAAACTTGTCAGCCATAGCTTCTGCCATCCGAGTAGTTCTAAAGCACCCCGACTCGTGACTTCAGCAGCTTTCCTGCAGCTAGCAATTTCAATCACTGTGCTACCGTGGTCTTTGAGGCTGAGAGCATGACTTGATAAGGTCAACCACAGGTTTCCATGGCTAAGTGGAGATTTGAACCCTGGAGCTCTAATCCAATACTTAAACCACTACGTCATGCTTGGTTCCATAGAATACTGTACCTAGGGAGACTCGTGCGACTTAGTCTTACATTGCAGTCAAGGGCTGTTTTCATAGAATTATAGAGTTGGAAGAAATCACAGGGGCCATTAAGTCCAGCTAGTTTTGACACTGAATGAACATTGTTTCTTTAAAAAGTTTTAGGAGTAGGAAAGTGTGGTGCTTCAGGTACTATTTG